GGTGGTCAAGCTAAGTCCTCGCATGGGGGTATGAAAACCCTAACCGGGAGACTAGGTCACTTAGGCCACTCGTTATTTCCCTAACACCACTCTTAATGAATCCCCCATCTTCCGCTTGAATTTGCTTCGACACACCAATCTTCATTTCGCTCATTTATCCAAATGGGCAACTAAAAGACATCAACCAAAACCGTCGCACGAAAGTGCATGGTTAATGGTTATAAGAAGTGAAACTGACTGGTGGCGGGGTGATTCGCCGATACTTTGTCGGAGTTCCATCGAAGTCGTTTTAATTCACCTGTTCACCTCGCCAATAGGTGTGATTCTCATGTATGCCATCGCAATGCTGAACAGGTGTTGTTTATCCTGTTGAGCTTATTCTAACATCGTGCTTCCTGACAATGGCACTTCGGCTTCGGGGCTTTTTCAAGCCGACTTGCAAAGTTGTTCATTGTTGGGATGCTTTTTTCCACGAAGATAACGTATTGTTCATCTCTCGCAGCGACCTTACCAGGTACGTTCAAAGCGGTGACGATGAAGTGGATGGGATCATCTATACAGCGACCCGGATAGTGGCTTCTTACCGTCATAAATCTTCCCTATATCCCTTTATCCCGGACAACTTCCAATTGGTCGAACTCGCTCTTTTCTCTAAGCTTAATTTATGTCCAATTAATAGCAATAGAAGTTTCACTGTTATCAGGATTGTGACCTCAGGCTGAGGTGGTTTGCCACTTCACCATTATTCTGTTGGCCTTTTTGGCTCCCGGGTTTTCCGTGGCCAAAGCCAATTTGCCGAATTACATTGATAGAAGTCATTGGTAATTCGTGCCGTAGCGCTTTGTTGTCGCTCGGCTCATAATCGCACACATCCCAGTTGTCTTAGGCAGTTCACCACTCCACACCGCAATTAGCCGGTTTTCTTATCAAAACTATATTCTTGGTGGTCAAATGGTGTTCCCCTCTCCCCCTCTCTCTGCTGTCTCTCACACTGAAGTGTGCCGAGAAACCAATTGAAGTGTTCAGTCATGCTTGTCACAGACGTGTTAAGTCAACTGAACCTAAAACCACGGTCACTTCCGGTACACAGTCTAGGCTCTCTAATTTCCTAACATGTGCTGTATAGGTAGAACGTGAATACATTTCAAGCTCCTGGGGACCGCTGACCATTTTAGCGCTCTGCCGTTCATCAGCTATGTGTATCCAGTATTAGACCTCTCGTCGGCTTGGACAGTTGGATTTTTTCGAAAACAGTTTGAATATAGACCGAACTCAATTAGAGGGTTAGAAAATGTCGATCCGTTCTCCATCACGGAGGAAACGTGAACGATCCTGATTTGGTCTCGCCAGTTTCCACCTTTCTATTAAATCCACTGAAAAGCCCGCTCAAAATCCAAAGCACTCTGTGGTGGTTTCCTTAGATATGCGGTTATCGGCTCACGAAAGTGCATGTTTAATGATTGTCAAAACTGAACGGACACTGTGCAGGTCATCATCTCGTCGATATCATGTTGACAGGCATGAAAAAGAGTGCGCAAAAACCCAGCCAACAAAAACAATAGACATACATGTTCCATTTGCTTTCAAACTTTCCGGGATTAGGGGTACGACAGAGATATAGGGAGATGCACCGATACCGCTTACTATAACTTCCTAGCACACCAACTCAAATCTTTTTGGTAACACTTTCAAATGAAAAAAAATTCAAGTATGCCTGATGAGTGAACAATGCAATAATACCGCAGCAATGAAAATAAACTTGATGAAGCTCCTACATTTTTTTAATTCGACTGAATTTTCCAGGCCACCATCAGAGTTCACCAAAAGTGTTCTGTGGTGTCGTAGCTAAACGAAGCGTCCCAAAACAACTTTCGGGAATTCACGAACAGTACGCCAAAATAAAGCGAACTGTGTGCTCTCTAATGTTTTCCAATATCCTTCATTAATGATATATATATATATAACGCAACCGTCAGTTGCCTGTGTGTATGAATGATGCTGAATTCAGGCATGCGTCAAGCGCTTCAAAGTTTCAGTTTGACATACTGTCTGAGGGACTTATTTTTGGTGGTAGACAGCCTCACTGTCCTGTTGCTCCATACCAAGTGTCTATTTCCAACTTTCCGTTTCATCCGTTCGATCAGTCAACCTTTTTGGGTGTGTCACTTATCTCACTATTTTTTTTGTACTTTTCTGAACCAGTTCCGATGATTTGTATTTCATGTCATTTGTGCTGTTTTTGATTTCCTGCTAGGTGGAAAACGAAGTGAACTTTCGTCTGGTAATTACACGGGCTTGCATGTTATTTTTTGCTTCTGAGCCATTGGAAGCATTGCGTTTGGCGATCAAGGTAAGCACAACAATCTCCTATTGTCTCTTCACAAGGCCGAATCGCA